CCACCACTTCGCGCGTAGCGAACTCGGAGTTCCTCCCCAACTCGCCGAGGCCAAGACCACGGAGTTGGGTTGGGACCCAGATGGGGTGCGAAAGTCAAGAAATGCACCACATGTGGAGGATAAGTGTTAATAGAGAGGGGGAGAGTGTCAAAAGCTACATTCTGAAATCAGGGCTGAGCTTTTGACTAATACATACTAATACTATATAATACTACTAATGCACCCCCGAACTGCCATTCAGAATCTGTCGGAGTTGGGGAGCTCTCAACCACTCAAAAGACCTTCGGACATCCACAGTGAATCTACAGCAGATTTTTTTTTGCGACTACTGGGCCCATTCTTTTTTCGGAGGACTACTGTCAGAAGCAAGCAGCTAGCTGGAGCTTTGGCCAAGTTTCTGATGTTCATTGCGTGCCCAGATTCAGGCGGCAGCCCAATGTCCAAGCTAGAAGAAGTTGTTGAATCACTCATCATAGGGATTCACAGGATATCCATGGGTAGGGTATCCTGTCTTAGTCTTCGCTGCCCCAACAAGGTGATCAACAGCGCAAAGCTCATGTGACTCACACCAAGCAGATCAAGGCGAGACTATCGGCTTGTGGAGATGAAGGCTGTTCAAGTTAGGGAACAACTGTGAGCTATGGCATAATGGGGACTGGTCTGCAGTAGACTGTGAGGTAAGACTGGAGATGTTCCACAATCTGGCTTGTAAACAAAATATGATAACATCTCATGATTCACTTAGTTTGGCGATGTTTGGTGTATCCTTTTGCAGCATGTCCGGCCATTTGTTTGACACAGGCGGTCAAGGAAGGGGGCAGCGCTCTGCGCGATGCGTCACTTGGCCAAAAAGAATGGTCCAGGACGGTCGCACAGGACATGAATCAGGATGTATATCAGGTATATCCGGTACAGTATATCAATAAAGGATGCCCTCCCAGTGACTAGCTCACGGGTATATGAAATGTGCAGGAAAGAGCATGTGTTTTTTTGTTTCATGCAAAAGCTGCTTGCCCTGTTCAGCTTTGAGTTTTATTGGAATCCTACTATTGGGCAAACGATCAGTATCAATCAGCAGGACCTGTAGCTCCCCTGCCTTCATGTGGCACCAGGTGGAATGTTGAAGGATCATGAATGAAGGCATGATCATACTGATGACTGATAGTTATATAGTATACAAGATGTCTTCTTGCTTCAACAGTACAACAGGACACCGGATGTCACATCCGATGGTCCGATTTGCTTCGATGTTGGTCGATGCACGGCAGCGTCGCGGCTCTCGCCGCCAGCTGACCCAGCGGAGGCTGTCGGAGGTTGGACAGGAAAAGGAAGACCTCGAGGCTGCTGCGTTTTGGACACCATGTGTTTGTTTGAGGTCCGCTTGGCCCTACTGCTTCCCCCCCCCAAAACCCTACTTAATCAAGGAAGGAATTGAGATGAATTGAGGTAGCTGGTACCTTACTTAAGCTGTGTACTTTGTACTAGTGTGGACGGAGGATAGCTCACAGTATTCATTTGGCTCCTATATAAATGTTTAGGGAAACTTAACTCCTGCGCTGCCCGGATAGGGTGATGGGGTGGCTTGACATGAATTAGGTCCAAAGATGCCTGAGTAAAATTTAATTAGTAGTTTGGGTTTTGGATTTCGTTGGAAAGCAAAGCTCCACCATGGTTAAAGTGACATCCTCTGATTGAACACATCACTGAGAAAGTACTACTTGGCTTATATCTAATCTAAGGCAGCACTAATTCAGGTGGAGCTTGAGCGCCTGAGAAGCATTGTCGAAAGTTCGAGCCTCAGCCGTGAGAGAAAGAAACTGGTGACTTCCACTTGGCAAGGCCTCCATGCAAGATTTGTGCCATTGGAGGGAGATGTTTCGCCTTTCTGCGTGAAACTTGCATTGCGTATTATGTAACCCTTTCAATCTACAGCTTTGGGCTTCCAAGGGCTATCACTTCTGATCAGAAATCATCAGAAGGAAGGCACATATCCTGCTGCCTTTGTGTGTTTGCGTGACCACCGGGCCAGCATGCACAATCGACCCCCCGGCTCTGCAAGTTCATCGCCCAGGTGCGTCCTTGGCCCACGGTGAACGCCGGAGCCGACAAGAGGCGCAGGAAGCCGTGAACGAGGCCGGGGAGCTACGAAGCGCTTGTTTTGGGGGTCATATTGGACAATCATCTTTCGGGCGCGGGCCCCTTTTTCTTTCAGAAAACGACGTTATGCGGGTGTGGTTTTTACGCGTTTTTGTGATTTGTGGTTTTCTGTGTTTTTTTTGAAAATGTTAGTTGTTTTGAAGAACGTGTCTAGCAAAAATGTCGACTTGTAATCTATCAAATTTCTCATCAATCTGATTCAAACATACTAGTTCTCATTGATTCCCACACAGAAGTCCATCAACCATCATCTATCAGCAAGTCCACGACATCCCATCATACAACATCAGGTCATCACCTCTATGAGGGAGATCTGGTCTCCTAGACCTCCAATCTCAATCAGTTCTCAATCTCCAGCAACTGGGGCCTGGGCCTGGGATGCTCAGGCCCCACTTGCTGGAGATTGAGGGCTCATTGTCAATTCCACGAGCTGGAAGTGGCCCAGGTGCTAGAGATAGTCAAGATTATTGATTTCATTATGGCTACCTGTGTAAGAGTAGCAATTCCACCACAACTTCTTATATTCCTCTCGTCTGTTTGAAGACACAACTGTCTGCTCCTGCAAGCACTTGTATATACTGTAGGCTCTATGTGGTGAGGGTGGATACCTATACTGTATGGTCTCAATGATGGAGTGTGGAAGATTGTCTTGACTTGATGGCTTAAGATATCCAATGAAAGAGAGAGATGGGCATATAGCTAGAGAGCATAGGAAAATGTAACTTCCAATCTGGATGAAATGAGATGAGATGAGATGAGATGAAGCATTGGGTGCATCAAACAGCTGGCATTGGGCTTGTGGCTGTATGCGTGCAATTTCATTTGAGACCAAAGGCGGTTGCGTAGATGCAACACCTGGGCACGAGAGATTGGGATCCTGACTTTGAGCAAATTGTTTTGCCATACAAGCCATTGAGCAAATGCTCTAGACAGCAGCACAATATGGATGGTGCTTCGATTGGGTTTGATTGTCCTCCAAGAACACATGGGCACCATGTGAGAGGGAAACTTGCTGGGCAATCAATGATGGGGATGGGGTCCATGGAATGCCTGGTGCAAATGGGTTTGTGCATGATTAGGTGGCCCAATGGAAGATCAGAACCGTTTGGGTACAACATTGGTTGCTCCTTATGATTCATGCTATTGGTAGGGCAATTTTTTGCAAATCTATTGGTTTACTTTTGGGTGGGTGTTGGTGAGGTCCAATGAGGTTTTGAGCTTGGGTGGCATCGCGAGAATGTCCTTGGCAATGTTGGGTGAATATTGGGAGCATGCTGAGCATGCCAGGTTTGGTACAACCTGACTTCATGTATGTCTATGTGTGGGCAAGAAGGTTAGGGTGAATAGTGGCCACACAGCCAATTCAGACCCTCAGTGTATCTAAGGCTGGATCATTCCATGTGCTTCATAAGATTCTTTGGAAGATTTCGTCATAGATGGGGGGATATGGAGCATAGATCTGAAGAGCCATTGGGTGAGAGCAGTGGAGATGAGCAGGATTGGTCCAATCGAACTTGTGGGATAGGATGTGAGCTCCCAAGTGACCCTGAGAATGAGGATGAGGCTTATTATGGGTATGGACGTCAAGAAGGCCATGCAAAACCCAATTCCAATCAGTCATCCAGGTCCAGTACTACTAAGCAAGTTTCTCAACTTTTGTTGGGCGTGGTGGGCACATTGTGTTTCAAGATAATGATCTTCTCTCCATTTCATAAAGAATGTGGAGGGAGAAGCCCATTTCATAAAGAATGTGGAGGGAGAAGCCCAAAAAGTGCTACCTTTGAAACAATGAGAATGCTTATGGGCAAGGAAGGGTAGAGTTGGATCCAGAGGTTTTTTAAACAAGAAAAGTTGGTTTTGTTTAGGAAACAGGAGCACAAGAACATATCTAGACTATAACCATGGAAACTCTGACTAAACATGACAAAATCTAAGAAAAACACCACAAAAGCACGTAAAAACCACACCCGCATAACGTCGAGCTCTCTTTTCTTTTTACAATGACCTGACAGGGTGGTCAGTTGGACTGGAATGTTCGAAATTGTTCGATAAGACCCGACTATATATTTGGTCCACTGTTTGATTCTTCTAACTGTATGTGTGTGTGTGAACACTGGCGAAGGCAGTGCGTGGACCCACATCCGCAGAACAATGGCCTGTCAACCACCTTAAACCACAGACACAGGTTCCGGTTTCAGTCACGGAACACACGGACCATACCAGAAAACAGATGGTGGCCCAAACGGGGAAGAGAGCTGCCTCTGCTTGTGGTGACTTCACCCCAATCTTCCACCACGTGACGAACTGTGGATCCCCTGGGGAGCCTAGGGTCATTCTTGGTCCCCATGAAGAGAGTTCTGAGGTCTGAGTCTTGTTTCAAAGAGAAGGATCGCACATGTGTTTTTCGATGTTGCCAACTCTGGAGCTTCAATGCCAAGTCTGACGTAAAGACTTCATGTCTTGATGAGCTCATGCTGGACATGCCCGAAGTGACCCGAGATTCATTTCCGAAGGCAAGAGTGGTACCCAAACCATTGTGGAACAAACATATTGGAAAACGCATCGCTCTCCGAGTCCGCTTCAAGCTGCTTTCCAACCATGAGCCACAAACGTAGAGACACTCCAGCCAAAAGATGAAAAGAAGGCGCATGTCCAGCAAACGAGGTAACAGCCAGAAGAACTTCGGTGCTTCAACATGCTACAACCACGAACTACATTCAAAATCATTCAAAGTCATTCAGTCTTGATGTCACTCTCAGACCCATCAGACATCAGCAAGCTTGGCCAAGCATGGCCATTCCGCAGCAGCATCAGCAGTTGACTGAGACAAACAGGAACCAAATAACAAGTCTTGTGCTGGGCAGTAGGGGTCGAGCCGCGCGAGATGGCATCCAAAGATGTGGAACAGGGAGATCCTGTGAAGGTGGCTGCCCAGGATGACTGGACCTCAGTGCTGCTGCTCTCAGGCGAGGTGCAAGTTGAAGTCACAAAGACAAGAGATGAACATAGATGAACCGTGCAATCCAAACTCAAGAAATCGGGAGAATTTGTATCGTGCCCCTCCCCCAACATGGTAATCGACTGAACTAGAGCTTGGGCAGCTTGGTCCTTTTTCATCCTTTTTCCATCTTTATGTCAGCTCCTAAACCCGCTTGAGCTCGATCGCCTCTCACTCGAGGTGCCTGGTCCTGCGCCTTCTCCATCTTCTCCAGCGCGGTGGCCACGCTGTCTTTGGCGGTCACGAACACGGCACCGGAGGGCCTGGAGACCTTGCCCTTGTCCTTGGCGCTCATCCTTCAAGGCTCCGCCGCGTCAGCGCGGCGCGCGGCGCGCGTCCTTGCGGAGCGACCGGAGCGCCATGTTGCGCCATTCCTCCTCTTCGGCCGATTTGGGAGGGTCGGATCTTTTTTGGCCGAGCGGGCGGACAGACGTCATAAAAAGAAGTGGTCAATTCGGAGAACGAGGGTTTTTGAACGCCAAATACTCCAGAAGCCGCCGTCCCTCTTTGATGTCCATCGTCGTCTTTTTGTGGAGGCCCAAAGCCCGGTCAGCCCAGTCATCACTCCGTTGTCGCAAAGGAGAGGTCAAGGAGAGGTCATCGGACTGAGGAGAGGATAGTCTGAAGGTGGACCCCGCAGGTCTGGCCAATTTGGTCTTGCCCAGCTTCAAGCGCCGATTGGGCCTGAAGGGCACCTACATCTTGGGAGTTTGCTTGGGCATGGTGGCGTGTGGTTTGTTGGTTCTTGGCTCCTATCTCCTGGAGTTTAGTGTCTTGGCGCCTGTTGGCGGATTGGCTCCCATGAGATGTTCACATGTTCACTTGGACCTTGAGCACTTCAAAAGCTTTTGAGTTGCCCTAACACAAAATGACATTGGCATAGTTAGTTGATGGGTGTGTGGAGCTAAAGCCAGCAGCGAAGGCGATTCTGGCTTGAGCATGCCCGGTTCAGATACTGCGATTGTTTTCTAGAGGAATAACATTCCTGAACCCGCCCCCGTCTCATATTCGCACATTTATGGTCATTTGTTTGTCAAACAAAGCCAAGTGTGTCCACAGCGATTGTTTACGTATTTGTAATTTGTGTCGCCGTACTTGGTCACTCTGCCTTTTGCAAAGCAGCAAGGCATTCAATGCATTGGAGCAGCCTTACTGGGCTACAGTCTGGGCCATGCTCAGAACTATCGCTTCGGTGCTGTGTTGCTGTTCAGCCGCAGAACAGAACAGTGGAATCGGGCTGCTGGGGTCAGTTCTGGACTGGGTGGGTCATTTTACGGTTTTTCTTCTGGGCCTGGATCCTGCTCAGGTGCTTGAAGAATTTGAAGAGGGGTTGGGTGCATTCCAACTGCCAGCCTTCCTGTCAGCACACTTCCCGAACCCTTCAAACGTCGAGCTATCGACGTCCTGCGCCCTGCGCGTGGGAGGAGGACGTTTCCATTCACGCCCTACCCAAGGTTGATGCCATCAAGTCCCGCAAAGGCTGTCAGTGCGGTGCTCTTTGGTGGAGTCCTGGGCTCGTTGGTGGGCCCTGGCGTTCTGCCACAGGCCGAACCAGCTTCACATGTTTCAAAAAGGCGATCTTCCACCGGTCCACCCAACAATGGAACATCATTATCTATAACGTCCATATATGTCCATATCATTAGGGTGTAGCCCAGTAAACCAGTAACAGCCGGTATTTTAGTGTACGTATCACGATTTTTGAGATGTCGGGTGCAACCTAATCATCATCCACTGGGCCCTGTTAGGAATTGTTAGGATATACCCAAACTATTAGTAAAAGTCTGAACACTCAACGGCACCACGCCACCTTTTTGGTTTCGCACAACGATTCAATAGGCTTCATGCCGTTCCAAGAGAGCGGGTTTCGCAGGTTCGTGTGGCAGTTCGCACCGTTGTTCGTGTTGCCATTCCAACGACAGTTGGCCCTCGAGGGCCAGGCCACGGTTCCTGTGGATGAGGCGAAGAACCTCTTGGCAGCCGAGTTTGCTGGACACTTGGCGAAAAGCAGTTTGGACACCAGGGCACACTTTTCTGGACCTCAGCTTCCGCACCAATCCCCGGCGCTCAGCTGGGCGTCAACTGACAGCAGGAACAAGACAAGAGGAGTGCACCAAAGGTTGCATTCTGCCAAATGTGGAGAGAATGTTCCAGTTTGTAGTTTGTAGGCCCTGTGGCTTAAACGTAGAGGTTGGTCCTGCCTTTTATATCGACTTTTTAAGGTTCGGGGCGAATGACATTGAAAGACTGTGCGACTATTCGGGCGACTATCTCTGTGTTGAGATGCACCAAGAACTTGTCAATATGTCGAGTAAAGGGATTGTCATTCTCCAAGGACATTGTCACCGATGGTGTTTTTTGACGTATGTGATTTTCTGTTGTCTTAATTAATTTCGCCTTTGCCTGAGACATGGCAACGCTTGTGTACTGCCCAGGAATTTATATGCTTGGTTCATGCATCTTCTTAGTGACTCTGATGCGGCTTGCAGGGGAGGGCGGATGGTCTGTGCTCGCAAGGAACTTCTGCAAATTTGTAAGATTCTGACCACTAAGCGGACTAAGCCTAAGCCACTTGAGATCCCAGAAAAGCCTTATGTTGAAGCTACCAAGCTTTGGCTGCCTCTGCAAGCATCAAGTGCACCTTATCTTGCAATGGTTTCTGCAAAAGGCAAGAACCATTGCTTAGAACATTTTCGAACCCATGACAAAATAGACACACAGAACCAGTGATGAATGGACATACTGTATATAGAACCTTTTGGAAACGCACACTTATATAGTACCTGCTAGATGATGATCTGGTTTAAGCTGTTGATAGCTGCTGTGTTTCCTTAAATAGAACTTAGAACCTGCTTCAATATGAAAGCAAGAGGAGCATGACCTGACTTGGAAGCCCAATGATGGTTTCAATCCTGACCAAGCTATGTAGATATTATGACATCATACTAGTTATGACAGGAGCTAGAGTTAGAACCTTTGCACAGCATCACACTTAGAACAGGGTTCTCCAAGATCAAAACACAGGAAAGGTATATAATTGTAGGGACGATAGCCATTGACGCATAGAGCTAGCTCCCCTAAGTTTGAAGTCCGATGATGCTTTTAATCCTGAGCACACTGTGACATCATAGCCTGCCATGTAGACACTTTGACATCATAGCAGCTTTGAGAATACGGTTAGAGCCTCCATCAAGTGCAGCATGGCAAAAGCACTGTCATGGGCAAAACCGATCCTTGCTCAGGTGAGCTTGGTGCTTCTGCTCTTGGTGCGCTTTCCAACTTCACACGTAACAAACGGGGCAACTGATGCAAGTGTCGTGACTCCACCCCGCGGTGTATTGGAGATTCTACGGCAGCCGAGCTGCATTGCTGCCATTCTAAGCATGGCTGCATCCTACAGCCGCTTGGAATTGGAAGTGGAGCATGCCAATGCTGGCACGCCAGCAGAGATTGGTACCCCCAGTTGGTTTCTCCAGAATGAGAGTGTGACTTGCGTGTGTTGCATTGGCGTGAACTGCATGTGTGAACTTAGACAAAAATCAAGCACTGGATGTAGAGAGGACTTTGGTTGTTCTATCATTTTCTGTCACTGAAGCGTCGAAAAGCATCCCTGGCAGTTCTTGTGCAATTTTTCACGGATCCATCCGTTTTCCGCTGAGTTTGCAGATTGCCTGCAGGCATCATGCTCCTTTTGATGGCTCCAACCCCCGTTGTGATGCAACAGTGCCCTTTGAGCTTTGCATTTGCATTCATGCCATTGGCGCAAAGGAATATTGTACATCTTAATTTGTATAATATACATATATATATACTGTACTGTACACGTAAAACAACACGATACGAAGAAAGAAGGTGTTTGGACCTCTTTGAGTAAGGCCCTTGACTGGGCACACGTGGAAGATGTTGCAGCTTCGGAGTCCTCTCCGACACCACCGCCCAACCCTGCTCAGTAGGGTGGTGGTGCCGGAGAGGGTCTTCGACTGCGCAATGATTGAAATCACCATATGAATTTATATACCAGTTTCCAATTGGTGCGGCCAAAGCATTTCCCGCCCGCGGATCAAGTATGATGTTGCACGCAAATGGCGGACAAAACATTTATCCGTGCCAATGATAGATTGACACCAAATTTTGTGCAATCTCACTGCTTAATACTGCCTTTGCAGGCATCAAGCCTGACAAGTCCAAGTGTTACGACAGGTCAGAGCAGATTCGTCCAGAATCACCAACTGAATGTTTTGCAAAAGCCACAGATTCTGATCTCCTGGTGCAGCTGCATGATTTTACTTGGACCAGCCATGCATCACCCAGCCATGCTGCCGGCAGGTACTATAATCATGGATACACGCCAACAACGCTGACCATGATGGGCCACATGCTCCTCGGATCGCCGACGGAGCTGCAGCACGTGCTTGTTGAGTGTGTGTTTTTTATGGTTTATACTACACATCATGGCAACATGCCTGGAAGAGGCTTTCCGATGTTCCAAACAAAAGCTTTCAAACAAGAAACAACACACACTGTATAGAATGTGGAAGATTGTTTTGACACATTTTGAAACCTTTCCTCTTGTAGTTGGCTTGGTTTGTTCCAGCACGGGATCGTGATTTTCTTCGGGGTATATGATTTCCGTTCTCGGAATGTGATCAGCCTTTTCAGCGTTCTCGGAATGCGACACGAAACCTGGACGTTTTGAGGTTTTGCATGTTCGCGCCTTCTCCAATGACCGGGAAGCTCATTCCTCGCTTTGGTAGTTTCAAGGCGGGTCGGAGCGACCGGGAGAGGCATAAATACACCCATCCATGGGTATCGTAGTAGCGTCCTTGCTCCTAGTAGCGATGCCAGGAGCCCCTAGTAGCTTCGTGCTCCTAGTAGTAAGGCCAGGAGCCCCTAGTATAAGTCTTTTTGTTTGCGCCTTCCGCTTAGTTTTTTTGGCCTGCATGCTTTCATTCCATTGAGCTGGTCCGTTTCTACCAAAAACCATGGTCACTTTCGTCGTCCAGACCACCAAGCTCTCCGGGACCGGGTCATGTGCTCCACCATGGTGGTCGTCAACCGTGGTCGTCCATGGTGGAGCCGTGCTGCTTCCGGTCTTGCCATGACGAGAGAGTCATGAGTCGGACGACCGCAGACGGGGTCATCCGACCCCAAGCAGTCCATTGTTTGGCGGGGGCAACTGCAGAGTGCAGTGACCATAGTGACTCTAGACTAACTAGACTATAGCCATCTAGAGCCTCCGTTCTGATGGCATCATCACTTCAGGTGGCAGAAAACCACTCCAGTTCCAATGATTCAGCTGAACAGGTGATCCATGCTGGCCTGGTCTTTGCCATCGGCACCGCCGTGTGTCTTTGGCTTTCCAGTGAGCTTTGGATCTTCGTGGTAGCCATGGCGCTCTTGGGCTTCGCATGGAACTTCATGTTCTTGGCAGGCGCATTTTTTCGCGCGCGATGTGCGATGTCAGTGGTGTTTTTCCTTTGGGCACGGCACGACATGAAGCCATGTGGGCCCAAGCCTAAGTCTTTTTTCTTTCTATGCAAGCAGGCTTAACATGCTTTGCCTGATGATCATGTCGAACTAAAGGATAACAGCTGTCCGAGCTAGTTTGTACCAGTAGCAAATCTTTGTCACTCTTTTGGGTCCTTCTGAAATTGAACATGAGTTAACAGGAGTACTCAGTTCACATAGCTCCGGCTATATATCCAAAAAACATACTTGGAGAGAATCCCACACCAACCTTCTGGTGTTGTCCATCACCTGGACCAGGTACAGTTCTTCTGAACTCCACTCTCAAACCAGCAGAGTCTTCCAAGATCGTGGCCTTTGCAGCTCCTCGGATCGCCAAGATCGGCGGGCCACGCTGACGGTGGTCAGAGCAAGCTGAGCAGGTCACGAAGCCATGTATGCCATGTTCTTGACTTTCAACGCATGGGGTGACCGGGGGGGCCAGTGGCGGCCAGAGTGATCCTTTTGTTCTGCCATCCCGTCCTTCCTGCTCTTTCTGCCAGTTTAGTCAACGTTGATGTCTTGGTCGCCTTCACATGTTTCGTGCTTTCTGTGACTACTAGTTTACCGGATATCTTGGGTTTTACATGCATCTACCACTTCTCCTTTGCAAAGACCTTGAGTGTTGGGCTAACACTTTGTTTTTCAGAACACGTTACCACCAGCGTGCGCTAAAACTGTAAATATTTCACTGTATTCTTGCATATCTAGTAGACTAGTGCAAAAACACTATATTTCAGTGAGTGTATTCTACTAAATGCTTCAGTGTCACATAACAAAAAAACCCAAAAAAACCCAAAAAAACAAAAAAAATAGTAAAAAAAAACACAAAAAAAACAAAAACACACAAAAAAAAACAAAAAAAACAACCCAACCAACCCAAGACCCTCTGCAATCCATGAGTCTGTTTTTTTTTTCAACAGGGTTTGGACACTGCACTCAGGAAAACCAAAAAGAAAACCTTTGGACCCAAGACCGTCTGCAAGCCATGAGTTTGTTTTTTTTTGTTTGTTTTTTTAGTTTTGCAATTTCAGAAACTTCCTATGCCCATCCTGTCTGGCTCATTGTCATCCTTGTATCGTTCAATTTGCTTCTGTGCTATCTTTCGAGCCCTTCAACACTCTATGGCCATGGAGGTGGAGGGCGATAATATGTCCCTGAGCGATGCCATCGCAGCGACCCAGCACCTCACGCTGCGAGAACTTCCAGCTCATGTTCATGTTGGCCCTCTACCGGTCGGTTCGGTCACTCCGATCTGTCTACCTTTGAAGGAGTTTCTTGTCTGTCTTCAAGTGTCATCGAAAGTCGATAGGCCATACCCCATCACATGTGATATTTATGCATGATTCTTTCTTATGCTTCTCAGGCTTTCGGACTCTACTCCTTCAATCAAGCACTTCGTTGATTTGATCTATGATGTCGAGCCCTCCTCGATCGACATGGACAATCTGAAAGCCATCATCAGAGACAAGGCTTGGCAAGAGCTTCCTGAAGCACTTACCTTGAAGGAGCGCCCCACGTTCTCTTGCTTGTCCCAATTTTGTTTGCTTCCACAAACCAATGGGAAACTATGTGTCCTCAAGCATTACTACGTCAAGAGTGACAAAGTCAAGGGCGCATATGTTGCCAAGCTCGTGCGTGGTCAAGGCAAGGAGATTGCTTGGGCCTCCCTCAACAAACAGCAAGCTCGCCGTGGCTTCCAGTGGATGTTGGAGTGCCTGGGTGGGCATCAGTTTCGTCACTTCTCTCTTTCCGCTGAGAAGGTCCGATCCAACAAAGCACGTGCCCCTCAAGGAGAAGATGAACAGGATGCAGGATGGGACTTCATCATCAGCAACGGTGAGAGAGACAAGGAGAACTTGAAGCAGATGCGCTGGATCCATCGCCACATCCAAAAAGAAGGTTCTCCGATCCATGGTTGGAACGAGAAGTTGGTTCAGAGAGCTCTTGATTGTCTTGCTAATGACGGATGTCTGGCCAAATTGCCTGACAGATATGATTTGACCATCCAAGCCATTCAGCCAGAAATCTTGACCATCTTGGAAGATCTCTTGCCTCATCTTCGTGGACATTCCCTGTGGCTGCTCGGAGAGTCCGGTGTCGGCAAAACCCCTCTCGCTCGAATTCTTTCCATGATGTTTTCGCGATATCATGGAGGAAATGGTCAGTTCAGGTCAGCCCCGGAGTTTGATTTCTTTCGTGGCATCTTCTTCGACAAGCCACGCCTGCCATTTTTGACGATGGTGAAATCGGTAATGAGACCATCAAAAAGAAAAAGGCGTTCTCAGATGTGGGAGATTCTGAGACCATCCTGAAAGAAAGGCCGGGCTCTGCAATGTCACATCACATGTGCAATCCACATATTGTGTTTTCCCTTGACATGCATGTCTGTGAATGTAAATCATTACTTTTCTTGGGCAGGTGGACGGCAGCGAAGTTCGTGATGCATCAGCTTCGCATCGTCGTAGACAACCAGTACAACCCAGAGGGTCAAGAAGGCGATGTTGATGGTGTTTTCTCAGCAGAAGTCTCCCATGAGTCTTTCATGAAGCTGGTCCGTCCAGCCGTGGGCTACATCGCCAATGCCGATGCTATGGCAATTCTGAAAAGGGCTGCCTTCATCGTGTTTGCTGAGAAGTACATCTATTTCCGACCACCCACTGAGAAGCATGTCAAGGTGCAGCGTGTTTTTTGGACCAACTCAGATTCAAAGGACATTCTTCTTCCAGATTGCAAGCCAACCCTGAAGAATTGGAAACTGGTGGGCCTCAGCCGGATACTTATTCCGCATCTGTGGCATGGGAGACTGAATGGTTGAAAGAGCTATTCCGTCGACATGATCATCCTGTACGTCCTGCTTCGCCAGCTTGTCCTGCTACTCCTTTGATTCCACGCCTGGTTTGGATGCGTTGCTTCGGGCTGATGGGGCTTTGCCTGCTGCACCTGCTTCTTCAAGGCCGGCATCGAGTTCATTGTCAATTCCTCACCCTGCCCCTGCTCTTTTGGTTGGCGTGCCCAAGTTGGAGCCAGCCGAGCATCCGGATGCGCATGCATGGTTGGCCACAGCGACACGTGGAGATCCTGTGGATGTAGACACAGATCGTGCAAGTGCAGGTTGGACCGTTAAGGAAGAGCCTTCCTTGAAGTTCCAGAGCCTTGCCTTTACCTCTAGTGAGCCCATTGTCTTGGACACACCTTCCCCGCCACCACACAAGAGACAGAGAAGGACAGAAGACATTCCCAATCCGGACACTTTGCCTGGACTTCATCCTCCCTCTGATGACGAAGATCCGATGCCTCGCGTTGGTGCTGCTCCTGACTTAGAATATGGAGGTCCTGGCTGCCAGAATGGCTTCAAAGATGTGTGCTTGATCATGGCCATGCAAAATATTGGTCTTCCGGTGGTTTGCGATCAAGATGGCCCATTCTCAGTTTCCTACGGCAATAGTCTGCTACTTCCCTTTGGCGTCCAACTGTGTCAGAAGCATTGTCGAAAGTCTTTGCCGGATGGCAGCTACATCGTGCATGACAAGGACATGAAGCACTTCTTTGCCTTGCAGCATCGAGAAGGTTTGCTCCTCAAGAAGGATGGTGAGGTCACCTCAGTGGTGTCTGCTGGTGTGGCAATGGACATGTTGTCATCTGGCCAGTACACCTTCTACTACTTGCGAAGGCAATCCTACTCAGCATTAGTGACCTTGGATGCTGTGGGAGGTTCTAGTCCGCAGACTTTCACATGTCCTCTGAGCAAGTGTGTCTGTGAAGGTTGTTCTGGTTCCCTCATCTACCATTTGTCCGTCGATGCCGTGCTGTACGATTTAGATGGTCCTCGAAAAATCGTCCACGTGCAGAAGAACTGTACTTCCCGTTCTTGCCGGGCTTCTTATGGCTACAACTATCGCTGGGAAGCAGGCAAGAAGGTGAACGTCCTTGGCATGAAGGATTTTCAGGACAACATTCTGTTTGTGAACTCCAAGAAGGCCTTTTCTTTGAAATACATCCAGTATCATGAAGAACTTCTGTTCCGTGGTCATCTCTCAGGCGCTGCTGTGTCGTGCGCTTACCACGTTGTCCACAGAGATTCCCAAGAGTCAATCCTTCAGAACTTTGACAAGCTGCATGCGTCTGCGTTGTTCTACTACATGGCTGTGAGGGAGTTCGAGTTGTTGGGCCTGCATCAGGAGATCATGATCGAACAGGAGATCCAAGATACCCATCTTGACCTCTACGATTCCTTTTGCCACTCATCTACCTTTCCTCCACACAAGCGTCAGCAGGTGAAGACCTTAGTCCTTGATGGAAACCAGAAGCTGAAGATGCAGTGTGATATGGCGCCAATGAAGCGCGCAGGCCGTCCTAGGAAGTCTGAGCACACCACCGGGCACTACACCAATGGCTGGATGCTTGCGTGTGATCCGAAGTCCGGTCGCATCATCAGCTTGCAGGTCATGCATGAACCTGAAGGCAACGAGGTCGCAACTCTGGCTGTGGAGAACGTCATCTGGTTGTAACCCAAACTGGATTGCCTTGTCTACGACAGAGCATGCGCTTTCAAGTCATGTGGGGAGCCGAATGAGGCCTTGAATCAGATCGGCTACTATGTCGTGGATGGTTTTCATTCTCATGGTCATTCGCGAACCTGCCCTTGCAATCCTCGTGTCCTGTCTGTTTGTTTCAACACCAAGTCAATCAATATGGATTCAGTTCTATCGAGACGACCGCAATCATTTTTTGCAAGTTTATTGAGGCACATGTTGTTGCATTAGTCCTTATATGTCCTTATGAATGTGTCGTTTTGTATAGTTTCGTATTTACTTTAAGTCAAGCCTACCTAGGGTACCGCAAGAAGCTGGAGAAGCGCATTCACAAAGAGAACACTTCGATCTTTGCGAACAGGTCTTCTCGTGGTTCCGCAACTTTTCCCCTATCATCAATGAGATGCGAGCCCACCGGCACAAATTCTTCTTGTTGCTTCTGTCCAAGCGTCACAACGAGTCCATTGAGGGTGGCAACATTCGGTATTTGCATCCAACTCGCCTGCCAAACCTCTTCAAGAATGCGAAGTCTGTCTCATACCTATGTGGCAAGAAGTCCAACACGAAGAATGCAATTGGCAAACCCTCGTCTGGCAACAAGATGGTCATGAAGGGCAAGTCCATGAAGAGTAAGTCCATGAAGTACAAGAAGTGAAGAAAGCTGAGGGACCATCTGTAGATCTAATCTCATGGGACAAGTTCTGTAGAATATAAATATTTTTGCTATGTAAATCCTTCTATTTGGTGGGTTGCTATTAATTAAACACACTAGTGCATATCAGTAAGATTGCTATAGAATCTCTATTGAAATATTGTTGTTTGTTGGAAGTCCACATGAGAAGTTTTGGCTTTGGTATGAGCTGAAAACTTTTGACAGCAAGATTTGGCAGCTTGAAATGCTTAAAAAAGTGCACGCTCACAGTGACGAGCTCTCTTGTTTTTCCCCCTTCCATACCCACCAAAAAGGGATAGCAAGGGATGTGTGGGAGTGTTATGACATGTTGCGGGAGTCGCGGGACCCATGGTGTTATGACGAGGACATGGATGGACATGGATGCATTGGCTCTAACCAAACGTCCCATGGACGATGATTTTGCTGAGGATTGCATTGTTTTCCTCACTGCTGCTGCCTTCACTGTGTGCTCTATGCCAGTGGTGTCTGCCATCGGTTGCTCGGCGAGCAGCAGCGGACCTCTGTAGGGAGAGACATCTTTTTTTCCACAACCCATAAACTCAGCCTGGCCGGAACGTTTGGGGATGATTCGGAATGTTGAGCAACAAAGTGTATTCTATTCGTCAGCTTGAGCTTGAACCGCAGGTTGGCCTGAGACGCAATATGCAACCATGGGCATGTCTGTCCTGGTGGCAACTTGGCATTGCACACAAGCTTCGAGAGCTGGAGACGAAGGTTGAGCGAATGTAGGGTCCCTTAAATTTTAGTCGCTAGGGCATGAAACCCAGTGAACCCTATTCCATGACGACGTTCTGCGTTGCTGGTTCTTTTCGCATTCCGGTTGTTGATTCGGACACTTGAAAGTTCACCTCACTGAAGCTGTTGTCGTACTGACTCCTATTGAAGCGCTCTCTCCAGCAGAATGAACAAAAGCAAGACTCCGCCGTTGATGTTGATTGATTCTTCTTCATCCATTGGCCTATGTGCAATCGCAAGCACCATGGAGGTCCCAACCCTTTGGACCATGTCAAGCACCCTCCCAGCCCTTGGATTAGCTATCAAGACAAGCGCCTTACATTACAATGGGACATGTATTTTGAGGAATCTACAGTGGGGGTTCATCCCCTCATTCCAGCATCAGTCACTTGTTTTTCAAACAACCCTTAAGCGCCCCCGTCCTAATCCCCCAGGTGCTGTGCCTCGGGATTTTGGCTGCGTCGAAGGCGCGTGAGACTTGAGGACCCCTGGCCGCATGGTAAGTCTTTCAGTAGGAAAGGATTGGGAAGAGAGGTTAAGTGACTTGAAAAAGGACCCATAACGGACTTGGACCCTGAAAGGATTGGGGCGCATTTGAGACGCATCCATCCTGGAAAGCTCACTTTGTTTTTGTCACGAAAGGTAGCCTCGGCTACCAAGGCTCTCCTTGCTTTAGCAAAATGATGTAGGGGAGGATGCCCCCTTGATTCGACTCCACCCCACCCTGCCGTGTTGTGGTTTGGGGTTGAGATGGGTTGAGTACGTCGGGCTTTGTTAGCGCTCAATCACTACTGCCTTCGAGCGTGATCCGTTACCTCCCTACCGGCAGAAGCTTCGGCTTAATCCGCCCTGCCTTCCACCCTGTTTGATTCGATGGCTCTTCTTGCAAGCAATGGACTAGCTCCGTTTGTGCAACCCTCCCAAAAAAATATCAAAAAATGTACAAAAACCCAGGGCTGCGCGTGCCAGAGTTGCATGAGATTTTGGGGGTCATTCCATGTCATTCCTTTATGGGTTCGAGGAGTTTCCTGCTATGCTGCTGCTGGTTGCTGTTGCTTGGTGTTGCTGCTGCTTGCTGCTGCTGGTTGCTGCTGCTGGTGGCTGTTGCTTGGCGTTGCTGCACGTCTTCTGCTATTCTTCCACGCTCCCTTGACAAGACCCTGCAGCCTTGCTGCTTGCTGCTTGCTCCTCAGAATCTTCCGTTCGCTCTACCTTTTGTCCACCTCCGCCTCGTTCGTCTCTAGTCCTGTGCAACGGACTGTGAAACAGTGTCGTTGGCTTCGTCTCGGTTGGCTTCGTCTCGGGCCACTCAGGGGCAGCGTCGAGGGCGTGCAGTGAAGACTCAATCCCTTTAGATCTCGGGAAGTTTCGCGCAGGTGAATCGATCGATGCGAACACGTCCTCAAGATTTGAGGATGGAAAACACCGGAGGGATGGACTAAGGTTGGTGCGGTTGACCATTCTATTGAGCGGTTGGCCAGCTTATGAGAACAACTTATAGAAAAGCTATGGCACCTACAGTTTTGCAGACATAACAGTTTTGTCAAACAGGCAGAGATGGTAAGGAGGATTCAATGACCTGACAGTGCCGTGACTTTGACCATCCCAAGGGATGCGACGCGCTTTTCCCAAGCCTATGCTCTTGTAGCTTTCAGGCTTGATCAATGTGAGAAATTTTCTACATAAGAGCCAAGCAAGGTCCGATCAGATTCATGAGAATACCACCAAGGTCATCGATATATAATTTATGTGATATGTGACTATGGGATGTGCATTCATCTCATTTGCTTGGTTGTACTCATATTATGTGCGGTCTCATGCACGGTCTCATGCACCACTGGAGCGTTCCCCTGCCGGAATTCAGTCGTGCCACGTGTGGTTTGTGCACGCTCTCCTGTGTGCACCATGTCGTCTTTCTTTGGGCGACATCAGCCTTGGTGTTTCGAGGGATCACGCTGAGAAACTGTCTGTAGGGTTGTCGGCTTGTACAAACTCAGGCAGTGGAGATAGGCTGTGCGGATTGGGAGTCAAAAGGTGTGTAGTTGCGCTCAGCATGCTTTAGATTGTGATTGGTCCTTGTCAAGATGTACCTTGGAAATCCTCAGAACATGTGATATCTTGCTTAAATTGCTATGTATAGGAGAAATAACTTATACTGTACTATAACATACAATAACTGTTTCCATGCAGAGCACTGTTACGCCATTAATTGAAGCAGAACACATTTCATGATCTAAGTCACAGTTGCCCCCACCCCTTTCTGGAGTCCTTTCCTTTGGCTTGTCCCTGCTTCCCCCAACTGGATTCCGAACCGGACAGACCGGTCCGATCGCCAGGCTTTGGAAGAAGAGCTACGGTCTGCGCAGGATTCCCTTGACCTCGCTGGATCCCGAGCTTTGGAAAGCTTTGTTTTCAGCTCAGAGCAGCGAAGCTCCTTTTTTTTTGCGAAGCGAAGAAGCACCATAGCAGCTTTTTTGGACAGTCATAAGTGATAAGCGCCAGGTGCGACGCATGTGCTAGGCAAAGCGCCAATAGAATAGAATATGTCAATCTCTGGACTCAATAGATCTCTATTTTTGAGCAATACACATTTGATCCATATGTTCGGAAAAGCTCGTGGGGAATATTCTTGCCGAGGCAGAAGTCGCTCACACCGAAGCTACTGGAAGCCGCTCAGGTACCGTGAAGGCCTGGTTTGGTGTTAGAGAGAAGCAGGGACACCGATGTTTGGAGCTACAAAAAGGTCCTAGTAGCCTTCTTTACTACTAATTCTACTAGTAAGCTTCTTGTTACTACTAGTAAGGCACTTGTTACTAGAAGTGATGCACTTGTTCCTAGTAGCTTATTGATTTTCTTTAAATTCTAATTTATATATTATTTCTACTAGCTTCTTGTTCCTAGTAGTAGGGCCCTTGCTCCTAGTAGCGATGCCAGGAGCCCCTAGCAGCTTCTTGTTCCTAGTAGTAAGGCCAGGGACACCGATGTTTGGAGCGAACAATAAAGATGGAAAGATGATGCCTTTGCTCCGTTCAACCGGAAACTCACGAGGCAAGCTTCCAGTTCATGTCACTCATGCCTATCTACATGAGCTTCTACATGTGGGCAAAAGACATCCTGAGGGCCACTCTACAACATACTGGAAAGCCCTCCCCGAAAACATTCGCTCACATATAATATATTCAATTATCACCCTGCAAACTGGCAGCAGTGGCAGGGTCAGCTCCAAGGGCTAAAGGCATTTTTGTGAGTGATGGTCAGGAAATGCCAGGGTCCAGAGTCCAGAGTCTTTTGGTATGAAACCTTTTTTGTTCACCTGGATGCTTTAAGAATGAGACAAATACAGAAAGAAAGAAACAAAGAGACCTAACCGTGGATTCTTGACCAAAGCTCGAAGTCCCATGAGCCCATGACTTAGGAAAGGTGGCCCAAAATACGCCACGACCGTGCAAGATGACATAGGAACCAAGGGGTGTTGAAAAAGGTGCCAACTGCTCATGTCATGATGCATGTGATTTCTCTCTGACACATTGATTTCAGCATATTTTGTTTGTTTATTTGTATTTTTGATTGCTCCCTCAGGGGGGGTAAAGGCATATAGACACGCCTTTTGACCAGGCACATGACTCAGGAGTTGGCTATCCCAGCTGACTATGTCACTAGAACCGTAAGTCCTATGTCACTAGACCCCAGTATACTGTATTTTGATATCTATTCCCACGCATGCAACACACAAAGGATATCTGGTTGAGGACACGGGTCTTTCATATTTCATGTTGTTCTTGGATGTTTGATGCGACTGTTTTTTCCCACATGCCGAAGTCAATCTTCAGAAGGGTACCCTTTCAAGGGCCCCAACACAGGGTACCCTGCTCCGCACGTGGGCTTGGTGAGCTCGCTCTCGGCAGGCAGGTCTTGTGAAAGCCAAAGAGACGCTTAGCAAGGCTCAGGAGGCTCTGTTCAGATGGTTCTGTCGATGCTTCTTGGAGGGCCAGCGTTCTGTTAGTTCAGAGGGTTCTCAAAACACGATGGCAAGGACAATGTTCACTTGCATCCGTGGGTTCTTTACCATTGAAGATTGGGTTTGATATGGGTTTTGTCGCACGTTTATTTATGTTTGATTATTTTTGTTTAATTTTTCTTGTTATTACAGTCTATCATGTCGTTTTTTGTCGTTTATGAATGTTGACAATCCCAAGTCCAACCTTGATTCGGGTCGTGCGCTTGATGTCTAGTTCTCAAGGCAGAGCAGAAGCTATATAGAGGTATCATCATCATCATCATCATCATCATCACCATTATCATCACTGTTTTTTCTTTCTCACCAGCTGAGTGTTTTGCACCCCATTCATTTCTGCAGTTTCTTCAAAGGAACGCCTCCGATGTGGCGGAGCCACACACCGCGGTCCGCGCCGCATAGAACCGCTCCAGGCGGCACAGACGGCTGCGCGGGAAGCTCAAGAGGCCCTACAACAACTGGAGGCGGAAGGGCCCAGGGCATGGAGATCACATGGACTTCTTGCCATGTTTTGGCCTAGTCTTGGCGCATCCCAAAAACTTGGGGGAGAGGCCATGGAAAAAAAAAAACATTTGTCCTGTCATTCACGACCCACTAGGAATCATAGCATTGCGAGTGTTCGTCATGTTCAGGCATCGCCACAGGGAACCAAAAGGGCCAGTCCACAGAACTCCACGAGTCTCATTGAGCAGTGTGACATAAACCGCAGAACTCCACGGGTCGCCACGAGTCTCACGTCGAGCGACGCGACGGCGCGAGGAGCTCCGAAGTGAGAAGCATCGGCTCACAGGCTCGATGGGGGTCGATGGGACTCGGCATAGCGGTGGGTGGAGGCCTTAAGGGATGCTTTTGGCCCCAAAGCAACTATACGTACGTTGGATGTGTGACGTACGTGTGACGTGTATCGTTGTTTTTTTCCTTTCTGTTGGCTGAAGCGGAATTTGCATGTGCATGTTTGGAGTGGAGCAAATCCACGGGGGTTCGGACCAAGAGATCTGTCGACAGAGTCCAGCAGAATTCTTCAAAACCGTTGACCACATTGGCCACTGGCCAGTTGCTTGGATGCGAAGCCTGGGTGTTGGACGTCTTTCCTGCTCACAGGTGAGACTGGTGTGGAGGCTGAAAAGCGCCGGGCACAACTGAAGGAGGTGATGATGGGCTGCGCGAGGGTTTGGGACAGTGTAGTTTGGATGGGGTCAGCGTGTGATGGTTGCACAGGCACTGCACTATGCGTTGGTTGGGTTGCAAGAAGACTTTTGGCTGCCGAGCCCCTCCCCTTCCTGCCGCTTTGCTGAAGCCAGGCCCTACAGAAAGAGCTGGCACAGCTTAAGTCTGAAGTGGAATCCAGTGAGGCTGGCGACCCGGAACCCACGCACCTGTTGGAGCACGGAAGGAACGCTAACGCTATCAAGTCCTCACATCTCTGCACCCGTGGCCTTTGGTTGACGCCCCAGCGTGGGGTCGTTTCCCCTATGGCGACTGGGCGAACAGGCTGAGTGCCAAAAGATCAACCGCAGGATGGATTGGCACAGGCGCGGCTTGCGGGTCGGAGAGGACGGAGCGGTTTTTGGGGGTGGGAGCCGTTCGCCCCCCAACAGCAGCCCAGTACCTCTGGCACCCTTTTTGGATAATATATATATATATATTTATACTGTGTTGTTGTTTTTTTCCCGGAAAGTGGACACTTTAGTTAGCTTGGCCTCCAAAGGCAGCATACAGCATCACATAGTCTAGTATCATGTGAAGCTCGTCTGGCAGAGTGCTATCTTAAGCGTCGCTCAACGACAGCAACCACCCACCGGCAGGATCAACATTGGCGTAAGCTGATTCAAGTACACTGCAAGAGTCATGTGATGCCAATTGGCAGGCAATTGAAGGAGCAACAGCAGCCTGAGCCTTGGGAGGGAGGCTAAAGAATGAGACATGATAGACAGGCAGACAGGGACACCCGGTCCATCACGGCAGTCGTTTTGGACTTAACAAGTGGCTTTCACAGTCTTCTGTGGCATGTGGTCCATCAGGGTCCAGGGTCCATGATACAAACATTCGCTGCTCACTACGTCCCTTGTAGAGTATTCTTGCTGTCCCATTGTCCCTACCGGAAGCAGAGGAAAGGTGCGACGGACTCAGCCATGGTTCAGAGTCGAAAAGCATTCATTGCCAGCTCCGGCATCGCTGGATACAGAATGATCAGAACGTCACCCAGGTTTGCACGCTGCGCGGCCAAAGAAGCTGCGGCCACCTTGAGAGGTGTGATGCATGGCCGCGATGGTGCGAGGACGATGTGTGACGCATGCGTGTTCAAACGGACATATAAGATAAGGGTGTCGGCCATTTTGGACATATGAGTACAGGAGAACAATGTGAGAACAATTCGCATTGTACAGCTGAGGACAGAAACCTGGGGGGACAAGGGCCCCAGGACATGGCTGCTGCTGGGACCTACAGGGATGTCGATCGGTTTGTTCCCAGGTAAAACTGCTAATCATGGATGCTAACAAACTGCCGGACTGAAGACTGCTTTGAGGCCACCAGCTCTTTCGGTTCTGGTGGGATGTGATTTTTCATTCGATTGGTCATTGGTCAAACCTACGAGTCTTGACGGCAGAGAGACACCCAGGGTGAGACGTACAATACAATCAAAACCACGATGTCCCTCCTCCCGCTTTCCGCACAGGTGTCTATGGAGAT